ATTGTGTATATATATATATCTTGTAAGCCATTCTGAGTCCCCTGATTTATACATTCTGGTTGAAAAATTAAGAGCTATTCTATCATGGGAGCCCTGTGTGTGCGTACAAAGGCTCCTGTGCTTCCGCTCAGGCCACTTCCCTCCCTCTGCTTTTGTTGTGGCAGGTATTCTGGACCTACATCCAGGCCATGCTGACCAACCTGGAGAGCCTCCCGCTGGAGCGCATCCACAGCATGCTCAAGCTCTTTGTGATGACGGGCCCCATGGTGACGGAGCCCGACCTCCAGGAGCTGCAAGGCTTCCTGCAGAAGAAGGTCCGGGACCAGCAGCTCATCTACTCGGGGGGCGTCTACCGCTTGCCCAAGAGTGGCACCTGAGCAAGGACCTCCCTCTCTTTGTGGGAGAGGAAGGCTCATTGGCTCGCCAGCGGTGCCATGGTGCAACTCAGTGGGCTCAGCAGCTCAGATATGGGGAGCAGGCCCTCTCAAGGCAACTGGGCACGGGAAGGACGGTGTTGTCAACAGGTGGGCCTTATTGCACAAAGCATCTGCTTCTTTGGTCGTCTTTGTTTACAATACAATGCCTTGCATTTTGTCCCATGAATCGCAGTGGAGGCTTTATTATCAGTTGTATTTTTCCCATTTCTTCCTCTAAAACAAGAGACTTGCTTCTTTATTTCTCTCACTAGCCGTCCCATGCCACGCATTGCTGTGGCCCAATCTGGTGATCTGGAAAATAAAGTAATGAGAAAGCCTTGGTGTCTAATATATGTAATTCCTTTATTCTTGTGAGTAAACAGTATTTCTTGTTGTTTCTTTGTCAGTGTTGATGTGGAGAGTGCCTGGTTTGCCTACTCTGGAATATGCAACATATCACAGTCCTTTAAGGGTCTCTTTCAAATCTATGATACTATATCTGTGTGTGTGTGTGAGAGAGAGAATCATATCTATCTATCTATACTCTGGAATATGCAACATATAATTGTTCTTCTTCAGAGGTCCCTTTCAAATCTAGGATACTATATGTGTGCGTGTGAATCAAATCTATCTATATCTATGGCTGGATGGCTTATTGTCAGGAAGGCTTTGATTACATTTTCTTGCCATGGTGAAGAGAGTTGGACTGGATGGCCTTAAGTATTTTCTGTTGGTCATGGGGGTTCTGTGTGGAAAGTTTGCCCGAATTCTATCATTGGTGGGGTTCAGAATGCTCTTTGATTGTAGGTGAACTATAAATCCCAGTAACTACAACTCCCAAATGTCAAGGTCTATTTTCCCCAAACTCCATCTGTGTTCATATTTGGGCATATGGAATATTCGTGCCAAGTTTGGTCCAGATCCATCATTGTTTGAGTCCATGGTAGTGTCTTGATGTAGGTGAACTACAACTCCCAAACTCAAGGTCAATACTCATCAAACCCTTCTAGTGTTTTCTGTTAGTCGTGGGAGTCCTGTATGCCCAGGTTGATTGTAAGTGAACTATAAATCCCAGCAACTACAACTCCCAAAATACAAAATCAATTTTTGAGTGAAGGACATACATTGGGTTGTTAGGTGTATACTGTCCAAATTTGGTCAATGCGTCCAGTGGTTTATGAGTTAATGTTAATCCCACAAACGAACATTACATTTTTATTTATATAGATTGGGCCGGCTCCATTGGAGGGGAACATTCTGTTGATCTGTGACCTCATGATCTGCCCCAGAATCCTCTGCTGCAAAGCTCTGGCTGGTTTGCCCAGCTTTTTCTTCACCAAACAGGCTCCTTGGAAGACATCAGAGATCGCTAGGTGACGGATCGACATAATGCATCTGACCCACATAGTCTTCCTCTGAATGACAGCTTCGTCTTCCTATGAGGCTTACAGCCAGTGGCTGGCCTTTTCCTTTCTGATGTGGGGCTGGGAGGACAAGGATTGAATTTAAGATGTTTTGTTTCAGAATGGCGAGATTCTTCTTATCCTTGTTTTTACTTGTATGCAATTGAGTGTCGTCTAGATCAGGGGTCCTCAAACTTTTTAAACTAAGGGCCAGGTCACATCCCTCAAACTATTAGAGGACCGGATTATAATTTGAAGAAAACATGAATGAATTCCTATGCACACTGCACATATCTTATTTGTAGTGCAAAAAACCACTTAAAAATACAATAATTAAAATGAAGAACAATTTTAACAAATATAAACTTATTAGTATTTCAGCTGCGACCGTACCTAGTGAAGTCGGATCTGGCCAGAGTAGTCCATGCCTTAGTCACCTCCAGATTGGATTACTGTAATGCAATCTATGTGGGGTTGCCCTTGTAAACAGCCTGGAAATTTCAATTGGTACAACGGACCGGGTTACTAACTGGAGCAACTTACAGGGAGCGGTCAACGCCCCTGTTTAAGGAGCTCCATTGGCTGCCGTTCATTTTCTGGTCCCAATTCAAGGTGCAGGTTCTTACCTACAAAGCCCTGAACAGTTTGGGACCCGCCTACCTGTGCAAACACAACAAAGCCCTAAATGGTTTGGGACCCGCCTACCTGCATGACCGCATTTCTGTGTACGAACCCACACGATCTCCCCGATCATCTAGAGAGGCCCTGCTCACGCTCCCACCTTCTTCGCAGGTGCGATTGGTGGGGATGAGGGAGAGGGCCTTCTCGGTGGTGGCCCCCCAACTCTAGAACTCATGTAAGCTGCACCGAGTCCCTTGGGGAGATGGTAGCAAGGTACAAATAAAGATTATTACTATTATTATTATTATTATTATTATTATTATTAGTGTAGTCCTGCTTTTGGGTAATGAGATAGGGTTGTTGTTATTGTTGTTGTGGTATGCTTTCAAGTAATTTTAATTCTGCTGCGTTTGTGAATCCCACAACTGGAATAACGCAAAAAGAGCAGCAAGAAGAAACAGATAAGACACAGCCTGTAATTAAGCAAGACCAATTATCTAAGACCAGGGGTCCTCAAACTATGGCCCGGGGGCCGGATACAGCCCTCCAAGGTCATTTACCTGGCCCTCGCTCAGGATCAACCTAAGTCTGAAATGACTTGAAAGCACACAACAACCGTATCTCATTAGCCAAAAGCAGGTTCATACTTTCCATTGAAATACTAATAAGTTTATCTTTGTTAAAATTGTTCTTAATTTTAATTATTGTATTGTTTTAAGTGTTTTTTGCACTACAAATAAGATACGTGCAGTGTGAATAGGAATTCATTCATATTTTTTTCAAATTATAATCCGTCCCTCCAACAGTTTGAGGGACTGTGACCTGGCCCTCTGTTTAAAAAGTTTGAGGACCCCTGCTCTAGATGCATCATCAGTGGGGTTCAGTGTCTTCTCTGTCTGCAGAATGAATTACAACTTACACCATGGTGGGTCAGTCCCATCAAATCCCTCCAGTACATCCAGTTGGTCATGGGCATTCTTTGTGACAAGTTTGATCCAGATCCATCATCAGTGAGGCGCAGAGTGCTCGTTGATTGCAGGTGAACTATAAATCCCAGTCCCTACAACGACTATAAAACAAGGTGAATTCCTCCCAAACCTCTCTAGTATTTTTTTGTTTGGCGTGTGTGCCAAATGTGGTCCAGGTCCATTGTCAGTGGGGGTCACAGTACTCTGACTTGATGCGGGGTGAAGTACACCTTCCATCATGTGGAGTCCATCCCCCAAACTCCTCCAGTATGTTTAGTTGCTGATTAGTTCTGCTCTGTTTGCTGTGCAGGCAGAGTTTAAAAGAGTAGGAAAGAGTTATGGGAGAGGCAGTGGGCGGGATCATGCAAATTCTATACCAATGGAGAGAAAAAGAAACACTGGGATGTCTGTGGTGGAGGAAACACGTAAAATATAGGATGAAATAGTCCCCAAAAGTGGTGGGCTGTATGGTGTTTGGGGAGAGCTACATGTTCATGGCACTCGCTATAACCTGGAATGTCATTGGAGGGAGGGCTTTTGGTGGCTCCTCAGCACTGTGGGATAAAGCTGTTTGTGGAAGTGGGAGCCTGTCTGTGGAAGTGGGCACCCCAGTCACATATACATACACATTTTCACTTTTATTATGTGTATAGATAGATAAAAGGTACTTCAGCCCTTGATTTCCTAGCAATACACAGAAGGCTGGAGGGGCATCAAGAGGGGCCTCGTTCCTATGATGTTGTTGTTTATTGCTCGCGTTTTTGGTTTGCGTTTTCGGTTTCTCTTTATTGTAATTGTTTGGGCTTGGCCTCATGTAAGCTGCTCCGAGTCCCCATTGGGGAGATGTGGCGGGGTATAAATAAAGATTATTATTATTATTATTATTATTATTATTATTATTATTATTATTATTATTATTATAAGGCCAAGCATCCTTTCCACAAAAGGTTCAATTGCACAAAGCCAGGTTGGCATTTCCTGGGTGGCTGCGTGACACGTCGCATTGGCAGCAAGGAAGGGTAGCTAGTGGCCACTTTACCTCCTCCTGAGCAAGTGGGGGTGGTCCTGACCCACTTCAGTCAGTTAAAATGGTACCCATGACACTTGTGGCAGCTCCCATTCTCCTTTTGGCCTTCAAACAGATTCCAAACAAACAGTGTTCCCTCACTTATTGCGGGGGTTCCATTTTAGGAACCCCCGCAATTTAGTGAAAAATCACGATGAAAAGAGGGGCCAGGAAGGCAGTTCCATCTTGTCTCCTGTGCTTATAATATAATATAATATATTGTATATACGGTACATATAATATTGATAATATTATAATGTAATACAATATACTACTACTAATAATAATATATTATAATTATATATTTTATATTCAATGTAATATTACTAATAATATTACAGGATAATGTTATAGTACAATGTAATATATAATATTAATATTGTGCTATGATAATAATATAATATATTGTATTTACTTTTTACTTGTAAGCTGCTCTGAGTCCCCTTCGGGGTTAGAAGGGCGGCATATAAATGTCGCAAATAAATAAATAAACCCTGTACACCTATTAAAAAAAACAATCAGGGTCTTCTTTCCTCCCCTCTCAGGTCTTTTTATTATATCCCTCAATGTATGAAAATAGTTCAATTCTTCCAGCATAAAAATAGAGCGGGGGAAATTTAATTCAATGTTTACCTATCACTTTTCGGAGGTGAAGCCCCTTTTGGGGTGCGCACCATGGCACTGTCAGAAAAAGAGCAAGTGTATGACTGAGATCAAGGGGCACCCCCTGAAGAGGTGCCCCTCCGTGACAGCAATGCCTAGGGCAACCGGTCAGCTCAGGAGTCCGCCAGGAAGAGGGCGTCTCTGTGTCTCCATCTGGAGAACGCCCTGTTGGCCTTCTTGCTGTTCCTGGGTGAAAGGCGGACAGACGGATGCAGCGTGGCTCAGGCCCGGTCCTCCTTCATCCATTGCAGAAGTTGCGGCACGAAGTATGTGATGATTACATCGGCCCCTGAGGGAGGAAGGGTGGACCTTTACTGCCACAAACAAACCAAGAATGGGTACTTCCTCCTTGATGCTGATCTCCTCCAGCTTCGTCCAAAACTAGCTCCTGTTGAGGCCCCTCTCTTTTCCATCTTTCTGCCACTCTAATCCCTTGGCAGCCCCCACCAGAGTCCATAGGGCTCACCTGCTCGCCTAAACCCAGCCAAGGCTTCCATCACCACAGCCTTTAGGTCAAAGGCCCCAGCCTGCGCCCCGTGCCACAGCATGGCAAACTCCCCGGAGACGTGGTAGATGGCCAGCGGGTGGTTGGGGTGCTGGGGAAACACACATCCAGAGGTCAGTCAGAGGCCTCTTCCCACCTAGTATGCTCCCCTCCCACTCTCACTCGGCTTACTCTGTCCTTGACCTCCCGCACCAGGTCCAGGTAGGGCATGCCAGGCTTGACCATCAGCAGGTCGGCTCCCTCCTTCACATCCCGATCCTGAGAGGAGGAACAGAGGCCGTTGGAAGGGGAGAACGGGGGTAAGAGAAAGGTCCTTCCCACTGCCCAAATCAAAGGTCCCAGCTGCTTTGAACAACTAGGTTGTTATAAGGCAGTGGTTCCCAACTTTTCAGCTCCCACAGTTTTTAACAGCTGGTAAACTGGCTGGGATTTCTGGGAGTTGAAGTCCAAAACACCTGGAGGCCCAAAGGTTGGGAGCCATTGTTAAAAGGCATGGCTCAAACACAAGTCCTGTGGACTGAATACAGCCTGCCATGTCCTTTTCTGTGTCCAGATGCTGGACTACAACTCCTCATTAGACGCTATGACTAGAGCGCATGGGAGTTGTGATACAGGAACATCTGGGAGGCTGTCGTTTATTCTGTTTGGTCAGGAGAGTGGGGTTTGGATCGAGAGACCAGGCTTGTGGATAGGAGACACCCTTTAACCTTTCTCCAGTCTCAGAGCTATAGGGTTGCAACTCCCACCATCCCCAGTCTGCATGGCAGGTAATCAACAATGATGGGAGTTGCCATTAAATAACATCTGGTTACCCAAACTGGGGAAAAACTAAAGAGCCCTGGCCACTATTTTAAAAAAGTAGCTCTTTGGTCTCCATGGATTCAACGGCCGTTTGAAAGCAACCACAAAACATTGGTCCCTCGCTACTTCGTGAGTTTGTTTTACGCAAATACGCTGTTTTGCAGATTTAAAAAAAATGAATTTAAAATATTTACATGACAACGGGCCTCAGAAAGGGAGGCTGGTGTGCAGCCCCTCAGGTCCTGTTGCTTCTTTTGCTCATTCCTTAATGTATAAATAATGTATAAATATTACATAAATATAATAATGTATAAATATTAATTTTTTTGTCGTGTCAGGAGCAACTTGCGAAACTGCAAGTCGCCTCTGGTGTGAGATAATTGCCCATCTGCAAGGATGTTGCCCAGGGGATGCCTGGATGTTTTTACCATCCTTGTGGGAAGTTTCTCTCATGTCCCCTCATGAGGAGCTGGAGCTGATAAGAGTGAGCTCATATGTGCTTTCCCCGGATTTGAACCTGCGACGTGTTGGTCTTCAGTCCTGCCGGCACAGGGGTTTAACCCACTGCACCACCGGGGGCTTCTAAATATTACATAAATATAAATATAGAAATATAAATAATGTATAAATATTAGAAATAAAAATAGAAATAATGTATAAATATTATCATTAATATATATATATATATATATATACTAGCTGTCCCCTGCCACGCGTTGCTGTGGCCCAGTCTGTTGATCTGTAAAATAAAGTAATGAGAAAGTGTTGGTTTCTAATATATGTAATTTCTTTATGCTTGTGGGTAAACAGTATTTCTTGCTGTTTCTTTGTCAGTGTTGATGTGGAGAGTGTCTGGTTTGCCTACTCTGGAACATGCAATATATCATTGTCCTTCTTTAAGGGTCTCTTTCAAATCTATGATACTATATTTGTGTGTGTGAATCATATATATCTATCTATATCCATGGCTGGATGGCTCTTTGTCAGGAGGGCTTTGATTATGTTTTCTTGCCCTGATGAAGGGAGTTGGATTGGATGGCCTTAAGTATTTTCTGTTGGTCATGGGGGTTCTGTGTGGGAAGTTTGCCCAGATTCAGAATGGGGTTCAGAATGCTCTTTGATTGTAGGTGAACTGTGAATCCCAGTGACTACAACTCCCAAATGTCAAGGTCTATTTCCCCCAAACTCCATCTGTTTTCATATTTGGGCGTATTGAGTGCTTGTGCCAAGTTTGGTCCAGATCCATCATTGTTTGAGTCCACAGTGCTCTCTGGATGTAGGTGAACTACAACTCCCAAACTCAAGGTCAATGCCCACCAAACCCTTCCAGTATTTTCTGTTGGTCATGGGAGTTCTGTGTGCCAAGTTTGGTTCAATTCCATCGTTGATGGAGTTCAGAATGCTCTTTGATTGTAGGTGAACTATAAATACCAGCAACTACAACTCCCAAATGACAAAATCATAATTTTTGAGTGATGGTCACTCCTTGTGTTATGAGACGTTTTGTTGCCAAATTTGGTGTGATTTCGTTCATTGGTTCTTTTGTTTTTAAGGCACTCATTATGCACAGAGCATTTATATATATATAGATATATCATAATATTCATTCATAATATAATAATATATTAATATACTTCACGGATTTTCACTTATCGCGGGTGGTCCTGGGACGTAACCCCCGCAATAAGTGAGGGAACACTGTTAAGCTGATGTGGCTCTCCTCTGTGGAAATGTGTTTGATCTCCATGCAGACAGGACTGGCAAGGCCCACTGCCAAGTGAGACCCACTGGCTGTCTCTTCTGGGGCACACGGCAGAGGCCCGGGTTTCCCATTTGGAGGCAGCAATGGTCCCATTTTGCCATTCCGTACGTTCTCTCAGAGGGACTCTCCCCTAGCAAGGGCCCTTTTCCAAGGCCGGCCCTATAGTGCTCTGCTCACCGCTGCCCGCAGAGCCAGTCCTCGGGATCCTGGGGGAAGCTGGTAACACCGCCGGTCTCCAAAAGCAGGCTTGGACAAGGCTGCGTCCCTGCAGGGCAAGGAAGGAGAAGAAAATAAGGACCCCTTGCTTCTGCTGAGGTCTCCCTCTCAGGAAAAAGTTGTGGAAAGATGCCTTTCCTGGCATCTAGCCCTTTGGAATGGGGGCTCCTGTGGGTTAGGGGCAGCGCCACCCTGAATTGCTGATGGACCACCCTTCCGAGGGCTGATGGGGAGGAAGGGATGTGGCAATCAGGGACAGGGTGCCCACTTTGCCCGCTTTGCAGGGGACACCCCTCCCTTCGCCAAACATTTCATGAGCCCTTCCATACCGGAAAGGGCCGTAGAAGCAGGAGGCAAACTTGGCACTGTAGCTCATGATCGAAACCTGCAGAGGCAAAAGAAAAGTGAGGGAGTTCCTGTCTATAAAGGTCTGCAGCCCCTCCCCTCGCCTTTAGAAGCCAGTCATATTGAGGAAGGGGGAGTGAGGGCTTTTTGCAGTGGAAGCAGCTCTTAACATCCATCGGCACCCACCTTGTTGCCCAGGTCATTGGAGATTAAGGCCTCCTTGATGGCCCGGATGCGCCCGTCCATCATGTCCGAAGGAGCCACAATGTGGCACCCTGGAGGAAGAGGAGGAAGAAGGTGGGAATAGAACAGCAGCAGGGCCCTCAGCCCTAACATCATGGGTACAAGCACCCCGGCACTCAGATCAATCAGGATAAGGATCCTTTTGCCCAACACCAGACGAATAATAATAATACTTTATTTATACCCCGCTACCATCTCCCCAAGGGACTCGGTGCGGCTTACATGAGGCCGAGCTCATAATACAACAATACAAGCAATAACAATTAACAATACAAGCAATTAAAATCAAACAAAACAATAAAACAATAACATAAGCATTTAACAGTAGGACAACACACTTTAAAATCTATGGGTAGGCCGAATGTAATTAAAATTTTAAAAAATAATGCTGGACATGGGCGAAAAAGTGACACGTTTGTGGAAACATATCAAGCAGACCTAAAACAATATAAAGTGCTTTGGAGGACAAAGTGCTGTGGGATCATTATTCTAGGAAGGCACACTGGAACAACCACGTCTTTAAGCTCCTCCTAAAGACTGCCAGAGTTGGGGCATGCCTGATGTCCTTAGGAAGTGAGTTCCAAAGTCGAGGGACCACCACCGAAAAGGCCCCGTCTCTCGTCCCCACCAATCATGCTTGCGATACAGGTGGGAGTGCGAGCAGGGCCTCTCCAGATGATCCAAGAGATCGTGTGGGTTCATATACAACTCCTAAGCATCCCTTTTCTCCCGCCAGGTCTCCTCCCACCTTTGGCTCTTGTGGCTGGAGGCCCCACTGTCTAATACTAAGGTGTGCAGATAAAGCCTTTCTGCATCGAAGTTCCTGCGCATCTGTTTATTTCCACCAAAATTATACTATTATTCCTGCTTTGTGTCTGGGCTGCTCTCTCTAGCAATCCCCATACCGTTTTGTCTAATGACATTGGTTATACAAGGCATGGGCAAACTTGAGCCATCCAGATGTTTTGGACTCCCACAATTCCCAACAGCCTCAAGCTACTTCCAGTTCCTAATTCGAGCCACAAAGAGAGGCAGATAAATATTATTACTATTACAAAGTTCCCTTGCTACTTGACGGTTCGCTTTTTGTGGACTCGCTATTTCACAGTTTTTTAAAAAAATATTAATTACAAATATACAGTACAAGTAGCGAGGAAACAGTGAGCAGAAAGGCCCTGCCAATGCATTCTGGATGCAAGGCCGGGCTGGCAGTGGTGGCGTAGACTCAGCCTTCTTGCCCTCTTTACCTTCCTCCTCCTCAACGCCTCCCTTCCCGCCAATTGAGTGAGTGAGAGTGAACGTGTGTGTGTGTGAGAGAGGCACCTCGTCACCGCCTGGGCCTCTTGCCACCCCTTGGACCCTGCGATGCCAGCAGCAAGAGGCTCAGGCGGTGACGAGATGCCTCTCTCACTCACTCACTCTCACTCAGTTGGCTCTTCTTCCCTCCTTGCCCTCTTTACCTTCCTTTATGTCGCTGTGGCTGCTGCTGCTCCAGAAGCGGCGGAGGAGGCACCACGTCGCCGCCTGGGCCTCTTGCCGCCGCTTGGGCCCTACGATACCTCTGCTGCCTCTTCGATCGCTCCAGAAGCGGTGCCTCCGCTGGGACTATCCAGCAGAGGAGTTGTGGGGCACAAGCGGTGGCAGGAGGCCCTTGCCACAGTGCCGAGGCTGGGCTTGTTGGTGGGAAGGGAGGGCCAAGGAGGAGGTGGACGAAGGTAAAGAGGGCCAGGAGGGAGGGGGCATCCCTACTTCACAGAATTTCACTTATCTTGGGTGGTCCTGGAACGTAATACCCACAATAAGTGAGGGAACATTGTATTATTACTACTACTACTATTTTCTACCGACTGGGAAGATGGGCTGTCAAAGTCACAACCCACCTCCCACCTCTCTCCTCACCTGCCTTGGCGTAAGCCAGGGCCACCTCCGCCAACCTGTGGCAACTGGCCTCGTTCTGAAGGGTGCCGTCGGTCCGCAGGATCCCTGGGGAGACAAGCAGAGGCCAGGTGACACCTCCCAGGTGCCCTGGTGCCCCCTTCCCTCCCTCCCTGTGGCCCTCAGCCTCTGTGTCCGTACCGCAGTGGCCGTGGGAGGTGTAGGGGCACAGGCAGACGTCGCAGGCGATGAGCAGCTCAGGGAACAAGGAGCGGACCCTTTGTATGGCCTGGATCACGGGGGTCTCTTCGCCGTCGGCTGCAGAGCCGCACTCATCCTGCGATGCGGGACAGAGGGAGAAAGGCGGCAGTTGACTTCTCAAATTTATAGGCAGAGGCCTCACAGCCCTTTGGGGCCAGAGATGTTGAGTGAGTGGGCTTATTAACAAAAGACCCTCCCTATGTGTGTATAGCAGAGTAACTTATTAGCAACAGTGTGACCCAGCACACAGCCCAAAGTGAGAAAAAGAACAAAAACACAATGTTATCTCTTCCATAGGAGGCTTATGTTTCTGCAAAATAATATGGTCGCATTATTTACAAAAGCAAAGTTTTCATAAGACAAATAAACAAATACACTGTAGCCTTCACACTGGAGCTTTCTCACACAAGGCTTCTCTCACACAAAGGTTTACCTCACACTCCTCAGGACGACACTAGCTTTGGCTCACTGACTCTAATAGGCTGTCTACTCGCTCTTTCAGTGCTCAACTCACACTTTTTGTAATCAGAAATACCCAGTTAATATTTAATATTTCTGACAAGGGATGCCAAGCAGAACCCCACCCCCTGCCCTGTCCCACCTTGATGGCTTTGCTGGGGACCCCAAACATCAGGATGCACTTCAGCCCGTCGGCCACCAAGGGGCGCAGAAGCTCCTCCAGACGGTTGACCCCATGCCTTTGGGGGAGAGGAGGAGGAAATCCATAAGGAAAGGAAGTGAGGGGTTCACCCATAGGACCCCAAGCCCATCCAGCCCAACTCTTGGCAGTTTCTCACAGTGGAACCCCCCCCCCCCCCAGGTTCCTTAGGTTTTTCTTTGTAGTAAAATACTATGGTTGCATTATTTACAAAAATAAGGTTTTTATAACACATATAAATGAATACATAGTAGCTTTACACACAGCAGCCTTCACATTGGAGCTTTCTCACAAGAGGCTTCTCTCACACAGAGGTTTACCTGACATTCCTCTGGATGGCACCAGCTTTGGCCCACTACCTCTACCAGCCTTTGGCCTAATCACTCTTTCAGTGCTTTACTCACATTTTTGTAATTAAAAATACCTAGTTAATTTTCAATATTTCTGACAGATGGCACCATTCAAAGAAAAAAGGCATTCCCTAAGAAGCATGCTTTTAGAAGTTGTTTAGGGTCTATTCAATGTGTGCCAGGCCCCATTTTGCCCATTTGGTGCCTTTCATACATTCTTTAAGCCTCTTAAGTGTGTGCCAGGACCTGTTTTGCCCATTTAGTGCCTTTCTGGAGTTCTTTAGGGCCTCTTAAATGTGTGCCAGGCCCCATTTTGCCCATTTGGTGCCTTTCAGAAGTTCCTTAGGGCCTCTTAAGTGTGTACCAGGCCCCGTTTTGCCCATTTAGTGCCTTTCTGGAGTTCTTTAGGGCCTATTTAAGTGTGTGCCAGGTGCCGTTTTGCCCATTTGTTGCATGAAGGCTTCCACAGGACTTTGCTGTGACCCCTTCCAAGCCAATAGGAGAATGAGAAGCAGGGGGGAGGCATCACAACTTCAACACCCCCAAGGAAGAGAGGCCTATCACTCAGCCCCAAGGTCCAACAACAGGGCCTTTTATCTGTCTGGGGTGGTGGTGGGGGGAGGATCCCTTATCTCCAGAACCCAGCAAAGCAGCCCCACCTCCTTTGGCCAACTACTTCAGAGGCATTTCTGTTGAGATCTGTATCAGAGAGGAGGAGAGATCAGAAGCATAGCCGTCCCCCCAACTATCTTTCTCCCCAAAACTAACCTTTGGAGGGCAGGGGACTGGGCCTGCTTCCCTCCTCCTCCCCCCCCCCCATCTTCCACTGGACATTGCCCTGCTGCTCTTCTCTCCTGCATTACTGGGCAGCCCGCCTCTGTTATGGGAGCATTGGACCCACAGGTTGCCTCTTGCCCTATGGACCCTGATCCATGGGAGTGTCCACTCACCGGGCCTGGCCAGGGAGGCTGGCGATGGGCTCCACCGCATCCGGGTTGTCCCTGAAAGGGTGAAAGTGGGAGAGAGGACATCAGAGACGCACCCACCTCCCAAGAACCAGAAAATTTAGGGGGGGGGGGGGATTATTATTATTATTATTATTATTATTATTATTAGAAACACAACAAGATTAGTACACAGCGAACAAAATCACCCTGCTGGTTGTTGTATTGGATCACACGTTGGACCCTTCCCAAGTGTCTAGGACAGGGGTCCACAAACTTTTTAAACAGAGGGCCAGGTCACAGTCCTTCAAAGTGTTGGCGGGCCGGATTATAATTAGGGGGAAAAAAACATGAATGAGTTTCTATGCACACTGCACATATTTATAGTGGAAAAAAACATTTAAAAACAATACAATAATTAAAATTAAGAACAATTTTAACAAATATAAACTTATTAGTATTTCAATGGAAAGTGTGGGCCTGCTTTTGGCTGATGAGATAGGATTGTTGTTGTTGTTGTTGTTGTGTGCTTTCAAGTAGTTTCATACTTATTTATTTATTTCAAGCACTTCTACCCCACCCTTCTCAACCCTCTTGGGGGGGACTCAGGGCGGCTTACAACCGGCACAATTCGATGCCAACAATTCATCAGATAAAATACATAACAACAATAACCACAATACTTAAAACATTCAATTAATACAATAACAACTAAAAAGCCAATCTAGTGGCCAACGTTCACCGAGTTCTAAAATCCGTAAGTCCATTCAGCATTGCCATAGTCCTTCCCAAAATTCTGGTCGTCATTACCTTGTCATTCTGCCATATTACCCAAAAGCCTGGTCCCATATCCATGTTTTCAGCTTCCTTCTAAAGGAGAGGAGGGATGTTGATGACCTAATTTCCCCGGGGAATGAGTTCCACAGGTGAGGGGCCACCACTGAGAAGGCCCTGTCCCTCGTCCCTACCAGCCTCACTTGTGATAGAGGCGGGGCCAAGAGCAGGGCCTCCCCAGAAGATCTTAAACTCCGAGGTGGGACATAGAAGGAGATACGTTCGGACAGGTTGACCCTGAACGAGGGCCAGTAATTGACCTTGGAGGGCCGCATCCAGGCTCTGGGCCGGTGAATAATGCATGCAGATCCCAGTAGGTTGGCTTTTGCAGCGACAGGTGGTGATTTGGTCAGTGCCGATTGTGTTTAAGTGCAGGCCAAGGTCTTGAGGTACTGCGCCCAGTGTGTTGATCACCATTGGGACCACCTTGACTGGCTTGTGCAGAGTCATTATTATTATTAATATTATTACACAACGAGATTAGTACACAGAAAACATGATCACTATTATAAGGTCAGGGAAGCAGGAAGTCAAGGAAAGGCTTTTCTGTTGTAAGGCTTAATGCCACTCACGTGACAAAGACCGGGTAGATGAGGTTGGAGGCCTGGAAGGCAGAGGCAGAGGCCTGCCAGGACCGGAGCACCGGGTGGAAGTAGCCGCTCTGCAGGAGGGACTCCATTGCTGCTTCTGTTGCCAAGAGACTCACCCTGGAAGAGGAGGAGAAGGAAAGAAAAGGACAATGGTGTGCGGTTGTGAGCCTTCAAGTCACTGTGGTACTTCTCTCCTGGGGTCTCAGAGAGTGGAACCCACCAAGCTTCAGCCAATGAGGGTTTAGCGTGGTCAAGGGAGGATCCGAACCTGATCTCCAGTCTTACAAAAGGTAAACAAAGCAGGTATAGCTATAACATCAATGCAATGGATAATAATAATAATAATAATAATAATAATAATTATTATTATTATTATTATTATTATTATTACTACTACTTATACCCTCCCAGAAAACCTTGGGGTGGTTTACAAAGCACTCAAAGGTGCAAATGAACAAAATACAATAATTGCAGAAACAATAACGTAGAGTTTGAAACCAACCCAGTGACCTGTAATAGGGGATGAAAAGGCACTTCTGTGTGTGTGTGTGCATGCAGGTTTCGTCAGCCCAACTCTTGACTGCTTGTGCAAGTTTCTGGACACACCTCTCCCCCACCTTTTGGAGAAGGTCCCAGTGCTGATCCTGACTTTTCACACACTCGCACACACACCCAAATCCCCAGGTGAGGACTCCCTTTGGGTTGCCTTCAAGGGCCTCCTCCATAATAGCAATGGGTTTGGGAGCCCCTTCCTCTCAAAGCCCTGCTCCAATACTTGCCTTGTACAGGACAGCAAATGGCAGGGGATCAGGCAGGCAAAGACTTTCCCTTCTTCTCTTCCACTTTCCCAGCAGCCCCTGCATAAGCACACCCCTTGGACTGCATAACCACTCCTTCCTGATGCCCATACTCTCTCCTTAAAGGGCTAGAAGCATGGTTTGCCCACTGCTGCCATCTCCTGGGTTAAGAGTGGAGTTTCTATGGCAGTGTTTTGCAACCTTCCTAATGCCGCAACCCCTTGATACCATTCATCATGCTGTGGTGACCCCCAACCATGATATTTTTGTTGCTACTTCATAACTGTCATTTTGCTACTGTTACGAATCGTCATATAAATATCTGATATGCAGGATGGATTTCCATTCACTGGACCAAGTATGGCACAACTACCCTATACGGTCGCCCACATTTGAATACTAGTGGGGTTGTTGATTTTGTCATTTGGGAGTTGTAGTTACTAGGATTTATAGTCTGCCTACAATCAAAGCGCATTCTGAACTCCACCAATGATGGAATTAAACCAAACGTGGCGCTCCCATGACCAAGAGAAAATACTGGAAGGGTTTGATAGGCATTGACCTTGAGTTTGGAGTTGTAGTTCACCTACATCTCGAGGGCACTGTGGACTTAAACCACTGTTTCTCAACCAGGGGGTCGGGACCCCTGGGGGGGGGTCACGAGGGGATGTCAGAGGGATCCCCGAAGACCGTCAGAATATACAATATTTTCTGTTGGTCATGGGGGTTTTGTGTGGGAAGTTTGGCCCAATTCTATCATTGGTGGGGTTCAGAATGCTCTTTGATTTTATGTGAACTATAAATCCCAGCAACTATAATTCCCAAATGTCAAGGTCTATTTTCCCCAAACTCCACCAGAGTTCACATTTGCACATATTGAGTGTTTGTGCCAAGCTTGGTCGAGATCCATCATTGAGTCCACAGTACTCTCTGGATTTAGGTGAACTACAACTTCCAAACTCAAGGTCAATGCCCACCAAGCCGTTCTAGCATTTCTTGTTGGTCAAGGGAGTTCTGTGTGGCAAGATCTGATTCAATTCCATCGTTGGTGGTGTTTAGAATGCTCTTTGAATTATAAATCCCAACAACTACAACTCCCATAAACAACATCAATCTCCCCCAACCCCACCAGTATTCAAATTTGGGCGTATCGGGTATTTGTGCCAAATTTGGTCACGTGAATGAAAATCCATCCTGCATATCAGATATTTACATTACAATTCATAACAGTAGCGAAATTACAGTTATGAAGTAGCAACAAAATTAATGTTATGGTTAGGGGTCACCACAACATAAGGAACTGTATTAAGGGGTTGCGGCATTAGGAAGGTTGAGAACCACTGACTTAAACAGTGATGGATCTGGACCAAACTTGGCATGAATACTCAATATGCCCAAATGTCAACAGTTGTGGTTAGGAAAAACAGATCTTGACATTTGGGAGTTGTAGTTGCTGGGATTCATAATTCACTTGCAATCAAAGAACACTCTGAACCCCACCGATAGAATTGGGTCAAACTTCCCACACAGAACCCCCCTGCCTTGAAGGGACTTGCTGGCACGAGCCTTCCTCCCGCCTTGCATGCTCTCCCTTGCCTGCACATACACACCATGCTGCCATGCGCAGCGCATGCATGCCCTCCCAGTTTATGAATGGTTGCCGTTGCCCAGAGTGGCGTTCTAATCCCGTCTACTGGCAACGATGGAGGGTTCACTATTTAAAAGGTTTCCATAACAAAAATACAGTATTCCCTCGCTAATTTGTGGTTCACTTTTTGTGCACTCGCTGTTTCGTAGCTTTTTCCCTCCCAGTTTATGAATGGTTGCCGTTGCCCAGAGCGGCATTCTAATCCCACCTCATGGCAATGATGGAGGGTGGAAGGGGAATTCACCCTCCTCCTCAAGAGAGAGGCAGCCAATCAAGACAGATTGCAAAGCAAATATAGCTAGCCAAAAAAGGTGCGTGGTGCCTTTAAATGTCTCCTTGCTTCTGCCTCACCTTCGAAACTCGATATACATATATAGCGTCCCTACTTTGCGGATTTTCACTTTTTGAGAGTGGTCCTGGAACGTAACACCCGGCATAAGTGAGGGAACACTGTATTGCTACAGAGAGGCTCTTCCTGGCAGGTCCTGGCAAGGAAACCCTTCTCTCAGGCTGCGAAGGGGAGATTGTGGCTCTAATAATAATAATAATAATAATAATAATAATAATAATACTTTTTAATACTTTTTTAATACCCTGCCATCATCTCCCCAAGGGACTTGGAGCGGCTTACATGAGGCCAAGCCCAACAACACATCAATAAAAACAAAAGCAATAAAAACAATACAATTAATATAAATCACATATAAACAATAAACAGTAACAGTAACAAGGCCATTGTAGCTTTTTTTGGGGGGGGACATCTCCAGCTGACTGTCCCCCAGTTCCATCTAAAACACAGAAATCAGTAGAGTTCTGAAGTGGTTCAGCACCTTTATTGAAACACAAAAATAAGACTCAGATACTGGAAATACAACGGAATGGTCAGAGCAGTGAACTCTGGGAAAAACAAAATGCCCAAACCTTCTTGCCCCAAAGAGAAGGCACATTGTGAGAGAAGTGACTTGGGAGGAGGAAAGGAGGCCCAAGCCTAGGGCTGCCCATTCCCCAATGCCCCCTCCCTTCATGTTACCCATTTTTGCCCCCCAAATCCAACACCAGGCATGACCCCAGGAGCCCTAAAAGATCCTTTTATGGGATCAAGACACACTGTTTTGCATATAAAAAGCTGTCCAGAAGTCTGTGGGAAGACGGGGGCTCTTTAGCAAGACTACAGCACTAGGAGTGGCTGGAGGCAGCCTGAGACTTCGGTGTGGTGCCTTCCAGCCAAACAATGGCCGCAGCTTGAGGGAGTCCTTTGGCAGGAGGCAATGGATCCTGTGCTACCTCAGCCCTCCTCCTCGTTCTCCTCTTCCTCCTCGTTCTGCTCCTCCTCCTCCATCATCCTCTCCTCCTCGTTCTCCTCTTCCTGGATCTTTTCGGGGTCTTCAGAGCCCTCCTTCTTGTCTCGGTCCTTCTTTTTGAGCTCCAAGGCGCCTCTTTTCCCTTTCTGCTCACTTCTGTAAGCTGGAAGGACAGGGAAGGGTTACAGCAGGATCGGGGGCACCTCAGACCAAGACGGAATCAGGAAGCCCAGCAGACTCTGCAACCCGAATGCTGGGGCACACACTACCTTCTAAGGACTCCTTCAACGGGGCGAGGAACCTCTGGAACTCCATCTCCTCCATGGCCGAGAGCACGTCCCCTGCGTTCAGCGTCTTCCGCTTCCCCTTCATGGCAAAATTGTTGGCACTAATGGCAGAGAGGGGCAGAAAAGAGAGAAAGGAAAACAATTTTTGTCTCTAGTTAAATCCTGTCACTAAGGAGGCTGTGCAGGTCCTGAATCAGTGCTTGGCCGCTCTGTCGGTCTGGATGAGGGTGAACAGATTGAAACTAAATCCAGACAAGACAGAGGTACTCCTGGTCAGTTGAAAGGCCGAAAAGGGGATAGGGTTACAGCTTGTTAGATGGGGTGATAATAATAATCATCATCATCATCTTTATTTATACCCCGCCACCATCTCCCCAATTGGGACTCGGAGCGGCTTACATGGGGCCAAGCCCGGACAGCAAAATAAAACCAGAACATAACCAACAAGCAACATCATCAAAATTACATAGAAAAAAAGTATAAACACAGTAACAAAATAACATTCCAATAAACACCATCACGATAACAGTGGGCAGGCCACATGTACAGGATAAAATGATTAAAAAACTCTAATGAGATAAAAATAGGAGCAGGTTTTCTAAGCCATTCCGTGTTTCAAACTTACGTAATTCCATATTTGTCAATTGCCCTGCATTTCCAAAAACCTGTTCAAAGTGCCAGGTTTTTACTTTTTTTTCCAGAAGGTCAGGAGGGAGGGGGCTGATTTAATATCCCGAATAGACTACTGCAACGCACTCTGCGTGGGGTTGCCCTTGAAGACGTTTCGGAAACTTCAACTGGTCTAGTGAGCGGCAGCCAGGCTGCTCACTGGAGCGACATACAGAGAGCACACCACCCCTCTGCTGTGTCAGCTCTACTGGCTGCCGGTTCAGTTTCGAGCCCAATTCAAGGTGCTGGTTTTGACCTACAAAACCCTGTACGGTTCTGGTCCAGTGTATTTGTCCAAACGTATCTCCCTCTACGTCCCACCCCGGAATTTAAGATCATCTGAGGGGGCCCTGCTCTCGACCCCACCGCTTTCCCAAGTGAGGCTGGTGGGGACGAGGAGCAGGGCCTTCTCAGTGGTGGCCCCTCACCTGTGGAACTCACTCCCGGGGGATATCAGGGCATCGACATCTCTCCTGTCCTTCAGGAGGAAGGTAAAGACGTGGTTGTGGGACCAGGCCTTCGGGCAATCTGCTAACTAGGTAAGGACAACCAGACAAATAGGACCGGCAGGACTGATAAATGTGGAAGGAAACTCTGAACTATGAGATAGCGAACATGGACCGGCAATAAGGAGTAATTGGTTTGTATTGGTTTGTATGAAATTTTTATTGGTTTTATCAGTTATAGATGTAATGTATCATTGTTGATTACTAATTTATGCTATTTTGTTTTATTACTGTTGTATGTTATGGGCATCGAATTGTGCCTTGGATATGTAAGCTGCCCTGAGTCCCCCTCGGGGTGAAAAGGGCGGGGTAAAAGTAAACCAAATAATTAAATATACCCAGGGAGGGAGTTCCATAGCTGAGGGGCCACCACTAAGAAGGCCCTGTCTCTCATCATGCATGTGAAGAAGGCAGGATTGAGAGCAGGACCTCCCCAGAGAAAAGGAAAGGGCCTGAGGCTGTTAGGAATTGTGGGAGTTGAAGTCCAAAACACCTCGAGGGTCCAAGTTTGCCTAAGTCTGATATAGAGGCTTTGGCTGGCACAGGAAGTTTGAATGAGTCTATTGAGCGCTTCCTTCTTCGGCTAGGCCTCACCAGGACGTGGCGTAGAGCACGAAGACGCTGGCTGCCCGGGACACAGCGCTCCGGGCCTCTTTCGAGACGTTCACGCCGTCGGGGAGCTGCAAAGGGAGAAAGACAAGAGGGTCAGGCGGACAGGGGGCGAGGCTAGCCCCTTTCCTCCTCCTCCTCCTCCTTCCCCGGGACTCACGGCTTCTTTAATGATCCGTGTGACCACGGCGTTGGGCAGGTTCAAGTCCTCCGGCCGCTCGGCCATAACGCCGCAGGCCTCAAAAGCCTTCCCTCGAGTAAGAGCCGAGCTCTGGGCATGCGCAAAGCCTCCGAAGCTGCGCGCCAAAGCAAAGCAGCCGCCTCTCTCAAGCTCTCTTTCTGGACCCGGAAGTGGTGAGTTTGCCGCCGCGCGGTGCGCCCTGGGAAACCAAGCCGCGCGTTGCCCAGCAACGGAAGGCCTTCCCGCTTTTGGAGGCGCAAAGCCTCCTTCGCCTTGAGCGGGTTGAGGATCACGTGGAATGCGCTGTTAACCTCCTCACTAGCGAAGGAGAGGCCTCTGAGCATGCACAGAGTGCTGCCAACCCCTCAGAATGTATGTTAGGAGGAAAAGTCAAGGAAGATATTGATAAAAGATGGAAGGGGTCCAGAGAAGGGTGACCAAAATGGTCAAAGGAATTGAAACCTGTGAGGAGTAAAAGTTAGGGATGTTTAGTTGGATCCAAGATGGCTATGGGAATCAAAGGTTTGGAGAACAAGCCCTATGAGGAGCGGCTGAAAGAGCTGCAGAAGAGAAGGCTGAGAGGAGTCAGGATGAGGGCCAGGGATCAAGCTGTGAGGGGAAGTCATAGGAAGGAAGGAGCAGGCTTGTTTGTTGATGGTCAGAGCTGTTCCACGGTGAAATATGCTTCCTTGGAGTCTGATCTCAAGGTTTTTAAGCAGAGGCTGGATGGCCTTCTCTTGGGAGTGCTTCGAAATCCTTTATAGTCGAAGGGGGTTGGACTGGGCAACCCTGGGGGTCTCTTCCAACTTTAGGATTCTTTTGATATGTATGTGTCAAACATATCTATTTCTCAGCCTTCTATCTATGGCTGGATGGCCATCTGTCCAGATGGTTTGGATAGTGTTTTTTTATGGCCAAAGAAGGTTGGACTGGATGGCCTTTGAGATCTCTTCCAACTCCATGGCTTTATGATATTTCAACTATTTCTGTGTATCTACTCTTTTTCTCTCAACCATATCATGGCCAGTGTGTTGTCGAAGGCTGTCACGGCCGGAATCACTGGGTTGCTGTGAGTTTTCCGGGCTGTCTGGCCATGTTCCAGAAGCATTCTCTCCTGCGTGTTTCACCCACATCTATGGCAGACATCCTCAGAGGTTGAGAGGTTTGTCATGGCCATCTGTCAGAATTTGGATAGTGCCTTCCTCCCTGGACAAAAGGGGCTGGACTTGATGGTCTTTGGGGTCTCTTCCAACTCTAGGAGTCTATGATATATTAATAATTCATTATATTATATATATATATACATACACACACACATATATACATACACATATACATATACACCACATCTGTGTATCTACTGTCTCAACCATGTCATATCTATGGCTGGATGGCCATCTGTCAGGAGGGTTTGTATGGTGCCTTCCTGCCTGGCCAAAGGGGGATGGACTAGATGGTCTGGGGACTCTTCCAACTCTAGGATTCTGTGATATATTAATTATTATATATACACACACACACACAGAGTATATACAGTACACACACACACACATATACATGTACACCACATCTATGCAACTACTCTCTCTCAACCATATCATATCTATGGCCAGATGGCCATCTGTCAGGAGGGTTTGTATGTTTTTATATTGTGTAAATCCCGGGAGAGGCGGATGAGCTCCCTCTATTGGCTCCAGCTCCTCATACGGGGACATGAGAGAAGCCTCCCACAAGGATGATAAAACATCAGAAATCATCCGGGCGTCCCCTGGGCAACGTCCTTGCAGACGGCCAATTCTCTCACAACAGGAGCGGTTGCTCCTGACACGACCAAAAAAAAAAAAATATTGTGTAAATGCTATTTTAAATTGTAAGTCGCTCAGAGCACCTTGGTGGAGAGCGACTAATTAAAAAATAAAGTGAAGTGAAGTATGGTGCCTTCCTGCCTGGCCAAAGGGGGCCGGACTAGGGGGTCTTTGGGGTCTCTTCCACCTCTACGATTTTATGATATATTAATCCTATCTCTCTATCTACCACATCTGTGTATCTACTCTTTCTCACTCATATTATATCTATTGCTGGATGGCCATCTGTCAGGAGGGTTTGTATGGTGCCTTCCTGCCTGGACAGAGGGGGGATGGACTAGAGGATTCTATATGGAAAATTTGCAGCCAAGAGAGAGATTTCACCGACCGTAGATGTTCTCTGAGTCCTAGATAAGGAAGGCTCAGCATCCAACAGACCTCGAAGGACCTTGAGGAGTCATTGTTGGTGTGTCGTTCTAGAATATAACCCTGGGAAATCCTCTTGCTTATACCGGGTTCTCTTTGCTATTTATGTGCAGTAATGTGACATTGGGACAGAGCGGCCAGGATGGTGGGAGTAGATACCAAACAATGGGACGAGACCATTTGCGACATGATGCCTTGCCAGCACCCTCTTTGCTGGGAGACGCTGCGGAGGATTGAAAGTGGGCACCCCCGGATAGTCTTGGGGGCCCTGGCCTCCCCTGAGAGAGAGTCTCCAGATTGTGAAGGTAATCCCATCTTCCGTATTGCATCCGGAGCCTGGAGGGAGGAGCCTCTTCCTTTAGGGACAAGGATCCTGTTCCTTTTCAGCCTGGTTTTGTGACTCTGTTTTCTGCACATTTCAGGTGAGCTGCCCACACTGAAAATCATAGATCTTCCTCTCAATTGCCCTCAGAGACAGGGAGTCAAGTGCAGCAAAAGCTACAGTTCCGTTTCCAAAACTGTCTCCCGTACGAAAGACACCAGAAGTTATTTTTCAAATTGTACCCCGAATGATACTTGGATACCCCCAGTCTCAGTAATGAGGTTAGTCACAAACTCAGCATTTGGTATGGCAGTGCATAGGGATTTACACTTTTTTGATGTGCCACACCCATCCTAGGAAACTAGATCCACTTTTTAGAGGGCTCTGAATGCATTTTGGTGCCCAATGCAACTCATCCAGTCTTTCCACTGATATGCCCAGCTGGCAGTGGGGTGCAGTTTGTCTGGACAAGGCGGTTGGATGAAGTAAAGCTTCATAACAAAATTTCCTAGCTTTGTGAAGGATCTGGATATTAATAATATCAATAATAATTATTATTTATATACTGCTCTATCTCCCCTGAGAGGATTCAGGGCGGTATCCAAGCAACAACATCAAAACATACAGAATCACAACATGAACAAAAAAATAACAGTAACAGCAACATAAGCATGACATTACCTAACAACACATAAATATTTTTTTTTAAATCCTGCCTGCTCTTCATGTCTATTTGTTAGGACATGGAAAAGGAATGGGTCAGGACAATTAAAAAGGCTGGGTCAAGACTGATACAAATTGAAATAAGATGGGACCGGCATTTGAGTACAGTACTGTAATAATAAATAAAATAATAAAATAAAACTTTATTTATACCCCACCACCATCTCCCCAAGGGACTCAGAGCGGCTTACATGAGGCCAAGCCCAACAGTACATCAATAAACAAAAGCAATAAACAAAAACAAAAGCAATAAAAAACAAAAGCAATAAACAAAAACAATAAATACAATATAGTTAATATAAATCACATATAAACAATAACACACAGATTAAAAAACCTATGGCCGGGCCAAATGTAATAGTTTAAAAAATAAAAAAATAACACTGGGCATGAACAAGGTAGGATATAACTGGTATAGAGTTTTCAGAGAGAGATGAGGGAACGCAGTCAATCCTAAATCAGTGGCAAAGTGCATTTTGAGGGCATATTGCTGAGAATTTTTCTTATTCTGGGAAGGCACACTAGAACAACCACATTTTCAGGCTCCTCCTAAAGACTGTCAGAGTTGGGGCATGCCTGATGTCCTTGGGAAGTGAGTTCCAGAGTCGGGGGGCCACCACCAAGAAGGCCTTCTCCCTCGTTCCCACCAATCGCGCCTGTGAAGGATGTGGGAGTGTGAGCAGGGCCTCTCCAGATGATCAAAGAGATCATGTGGGTTCGTACACAGAAATGCGGTCACGACAAAAGCGGGGAAGGGCTATTTCCAGGGGTCTGTTAGGAGAATGACCAGGATAATATATAGGGGGCTAGGTCGTGTCCGGACAGTGTCTGGGCTGAGCTAGCACTGGTCACTCGAAGATTTGTTGAAACCACCAAGTCTTCAATTCTTACAAAAAGAGGGGAAGGATGGGGCCTGTCTTATTTCCCTTGGAAGGGCATTCCAGAGGCGGGGAGGCACCACTGAGAAGCCCCTCTCTGTCGTCCCCACCAACCGTGCTTGTGACAGAGGTGGGAGCGAGAGGAGGGCCTCCCCAGAGGATCTTAGAGTTCGCGCCGGTTCATAGATGGAGATGCGATCGTGAAGATAGGCGGACCCCGAACTGTTTGGGGCTTTATAGGTCTTTATCTACACCTTGAATTTGGCTCGGCAACTTATCAGCAGCCAATGAAGATTTTTTAACAGGAGTGTTGTGTACTTCCTATAGTTTGCTCCAGTAAGGAGCGTGGCTGCCGCCCTTTGTACCAGTTGTAATTTCCAGGCCGTCTTCAAGGGCAGCCCCATGTAGAGCGCATTGCAATAGCCCAATTAATGAATTGGGTCCTCGGCTCACTGCCGTGTGCTGCCATAAGCCCCAGAGTTAGATGTGCCACCTTGCTTTGTACCTGCTTGCCTTGCCTTTTCCAGCATGGCTTCTGCTCTCTTGTCTGCCCTCCAGTTCTGAAAGGAATCCCTTCCCAGGGCTGAACTCCCGGATGGATTCTCACACCCCGCACCTCTCACCATTCAGCTTCAGCTGCTCGAGGCAACTCGAACAAGTGAGTTAAGGGCAAAGGAGAGCAGGGGGGAAGTTTGGGAACCCCTCGGCCTGCAAGGTTCAACCCTGCCCAGTTTGCTGGTTTGTCCCAAGCTTCTCTTTGAGCCCACACCAAATCAAAAGGGACTCAGATGGAAAGAAGAAGTGGGTTCACGCTCCACAAAGGCTGTTGGAGCAGTGTGTCCAATAGAAGAAACATCCCTAAGCTCCTGCTGTTACGCAGAAGTACAGATCAGTTGGGATGGTGAAGAAGGATGCTCATCATTGCTAGTTATTATAGAAAATCATGACCTTTTAGAGACCGTAAACTTTTAGAGAAGAGGTAAAATCCTGTTTGAGTAGAATCTTCTCAAGTGGTATACAACCAAATGTAATTATGCAAGGCACTAGTGTTCACATGTGGGCATATCGAGTATTTGTGCCAAGTTTGCTCCAGATCCATCATTGTTTGAGTCCACAGTGCTCTCTGGATGTAGGTGAACTACAACTCCAAAATTCAAGGTCAATGCCCACCAAACCCTTGCAGTATTTTCTGTTCGTTATGGGAGTTCCATGTGCCAAGATTGGTTCAGTTCCATCATTGGTGGAGTTCAGAATGCTCTTTGATTTTAGGTGAACTGTAAATCCCAGCAACTACAACTCCCAAATGTCAAGGTCTATTTTCCCCAAACTCCACCAGTGTTCACATTTGGGCATATTGAGTACTAGCAGTCCCCTGCCATGCGTTGCTGTGACCAGCCTGTGTATATGTATTTTGTGTGTGTATATATGTGTGTATATATTTGTGTATATGTGTATATATGTGTGTTTTTGAGCATGTGTTTTAATTTATTTTTTATTTTTTGGCTTTTTAAGTCTCTTCTGCTGTGTTTTTCAGTGTTTTATGAGTGGTGGTCACTCGTTGGCCTGATAGCTGTGTTGTGTCCAAATTTGGTGTCAATTAGTCCAGTGGTTTTTGAGTTATGTTAGTCCCACAAACGAACATTACATTTTTATTTACATGGATTTCTGCCAAATTTGGTCCAGATCCATCATTGTTTTGAGTTCACAGTGCTCTCTGTATGTAGGTGAACTGCAACTCCAAAATTCAAGGTTAACGCCCACCAAACCCTTCCAGTATTTCCTGTTGGTCATGGGAGTTCTGTGTGCCAAGATTGGTTCAGTTCCATTGTTGGTGGAGTTCAGAATGCTCTTTGATTGTAGGTGAACTACAAATCCCAGCAACAACAACTCCCAAATGACAAAATCAACAACCCTACCAGTATTCAAATGTGGGCCTATCGAGTATTTGTGCCAAATTTGGTCCAGTGATTGAAAATACATCCTGCATATTAGATATTTACATTACAATTCATAACAGTTAGCAAAATTGTAGTTATGAAGTAGTAACAAAATAATTTTATGGTCAGGGGTCAGCACAACATGAGGAAATGTGTTAAGGGATCATGGCATTCGGGAGGTTGAAAAACACTATTCTACAGGGTCTGGCTCCTTCACAGCAGTCTCCCTCTCTGACATGTCAAGCTGTTCCTCTCTGGGCTCAGACTTGGCTCCTGGGAGGCAACCCCTTCCTCTCCTCCTTCTCCTCTTGGTCCATGTACCTGATAGGCACTCAGATATCAGATAAATTCACAAAAGCATCTGAGAGAGCATTGTGTGTCTTCAGAAGTCTTGGCCATGGTTCTCTTATGGCTTTCTTCTGCAATAGAGTCTTTCTATGCTGAGCGCCCTGTCCTTTCCAATTTACCTTGGCAGATACAGGTGATGGATATCTCTGAATTGGCAGCCCAGAGATTGGGCTGTCAACTTCCCTATGGAAACCTGGTGGTCCAGTGGATTCCATCCAAGTGGCCCAGTCGTCTGCAGTCCAAGAAGTCACCTGTGAAAGCGTAAGTAGCAGGCCTCCCTGGCAGATTACAATCCCCCCCCCCCCCAATGTGTATGAGAGCTCACCATTCCCATCTTGAGAAAATTCAGTTGTTCTTGTTGCCATAAAAAGGGATATTGCAGGGGAGTCTCTCAGGCAGTTGTTGCAAGTTGAACCTGCTGCTATCCCCTTTTCAGCCAGACCTGTTCCAGAACTTCATAGGCTTTGGGGAAAGGTGGTCTGCAATAACTAAAATATGGACTGCAGCCTCACTGGTGCTACACCATTGCAACAAGAGCGACTGGTCTCATGAAACTCTCTTATAGTGCCGAGGCTTATTAAATATGGTTTTCCAATAGTCGCAGATGGCGACTACGGGATGGCATATATTTTGTATCGGAAACTAGAGCTGGGTGACCTCTAGCTTAGTGGTTCCCAACTTTGGAATTGATTTTGGATGGTGTGATTTTAATAACTGTTTTTAAATCGTGTTGTTTTTCAGTGGGTTTTAATATACATGTGATTGTATTATTGATGTTTAATTGTTATGCTTTATGTTTAAATATTATGTTGTGTTTATGTTTGAATTTGGTTAGGTTATTACTAATAATATTACAGTATAATGTACAATATAGTAATTTATTTATTTATCGTGTCAGGAACAAACCAAACATCTGGCAGTGGCATTTTTTAACAAACAAACATACAAACAAACAAAACACAAAGTTTGCAATTTTTGCTAGTTGATTAGACGTCCTTTGACCAGTATTATCTGGCCACTTGGAGTGCTTCTGGTGTTGCTGCAAGAAGGTCCTCCATTGTGCATGTAGCAGGGCTCAGGTTGCATCGCAGCAGGTGGTCTGTAGTTTGCTCTTCTCCACACTCACATGTCATGGATTCCACTTTGTAGCCACATTTTTTAAGGTTGGCTCTGCATCTCGTGGTGCCAGAGCGCAGTCTGTTCAGCGCCTTCCAAGTCACCCAGTTTTCAGCGCCTTCCAAGTCACCCAGTTTTCAGGGGAGAGTCTCTCATTTGGTATCAGCCATTGATTGAGGTTCTGGGTTTGAGCCTGCCACTTTTGGGCTCTCACTTGCTGAGGTGTTCCAGAGAGTGTCTCTGTAGTTCTTAGAAAACTATTTCTTGATTTGAGTCGTTGACGTGCCCAAACAGGGGATGAGCTGGAAATGTCATTGCCTTAGTCATTTCACTATTGGCTGCTACTTCCTGACAGATGTCTGGTGGTGCAATACCGGCTAGACAGTGTAATTTCTCCAGTGGTGTAGGGCGCAGACACCCCATGATAATGTGGCATGTCTCATTAAGAGCCACACCTACTGTTTTAGCATGGTGAGATGTGTTCCACACTGGGCATGCATACTCAGCAGCAGAGTAGCATAGCATAGCGCAAGGGCAGATGTCTTCACTGTGTCTGGTTGTTTTCCCCAGGTTGTGCCAGTCAGTATATAATACTAATATTGTGCTATGGTAATAATATAATATATTGCATTTACATATTACTTGTAAGCCGCTCTGAGTCCCCTTCGGGGTGAGAAGGGCGGCATATAAATGTCGTAAATAAATAAAGTTAATTTATAGTTATATGTTATTGTCTTGTTATTATATTTTGGTTTTCACATGTATGTACGGCATTTAATTTTGCCTTTTTGAGTTCCTTTAGGTGGAGAAAAGCCGTATATTAATGTAATAAATAAATAAATAATATCCAATGCAATTTTCTGAATCAGCACATCAGAAGTTCACCAAAAATCAATTTGTAACCCCTTTGGTACTAATGTTGGAGAGTGGTCCATGGTCAAAGTGGTCCCTGGTCAAAAAAAGGTTGGGAACCACTGAGCTAGAGAGAACCCAGGTGCCATAGAAGGCTCCCCTGCTGTGTCCTCCTTCCTTCCTTCCTTCCTTCCTTCCTTCCTTCCTTCCTTCCTTCCTTCCTTCCTTCCTTTTCTTTGGTGCCTCTAACAGCAGTTGTGTCTGACTGACAGAAGGGAAGATCTCAACTGGCCCTGTCTTCCCTTCTCATTGACCCAGCCTTCATAGAAACTCAGTGGTGTATTTCCTCTTTGTTTAGTACGGCCTCTCAAAGGATGTGTGTGAAAGACCTTGCGTTGGAAAGCACCCTCTCATTCAAGGACAACCAAGTAAAGGTGAGCGGCACTTATTGCTCTCTTGAAGACTGAGCCTTGTTGCGTCTTTTCCTTGTTTGTCCACTTGGTGTGGCTTCTGTGATGAGCAGTGGTCTGAAACACACAAGCTCAGCAGGAGGTAGAACAAGGAGGTGTCTTTTTCTGGCAGAACTGGCGCATTGAGTGTTGCAGCCCAAGCAAAACGGTTCTACTGGGTTCTACTGTCTTCCTCCTTCTGACATCTAGGGTTATCTTTGCTGCTTGTGCCTTCCTCATGCCAGTGGTCTCTAGTTCATGGAGATGGGTCACCATCCTGGAGGATGGGCAGAGTCTCCAAGAGCATAGAATCATAGAGTTGGAAGAGATCCCCAGGGGCCATCCGATCCAACAGGAGCCCCTGGTGGCACAGTGGGTTAACCCCTGTGCCGTCAGGACTGAAGACCGACAGGTCGCAGGTTCAAATCCGGGGAGAGCATGGATGAGCTCCCTCTATCAGCTCCAGCTCCTCATACGGGGACATGAGAGAACCCTCCCACAAGTATGGTAAAAACATCCAAACATCCGGGCGTCCTCTGGGCAACATCCTTGCAGACGGCCAATTCTCTCACACCAGAAGCGACTTGCCCAACGATGCACAATACTCACATCAACACAATCACCATAAACAGCTTGCATTCTCTGATGAATCTCCTTTGGGGTGACGCCGTCTGCTGTCAACAATTCAATGACTGCACGTTGCTTAAGTTGCATTGATCGACCGTCTGCACAGGGTTCCATACTTTACACTTTAACAACATAACCATTCAATGCTAAGGTTTCCCACCAAATGGAACTGTAGAGGAGAGTCTTCTGAACAAGGCAGTACCTGCCGCAACCCAGTACTGCCATCTGTTGAGAATTTACGAAGATGGAGGCATTACTTTTCATTCAACCCTCATAGTCTGTGGTTTGCTCTTCTCCATACTCGCATGTCATGGGCTCCACTTTACAGCCCCATTTCTTAAGGTTAGATGAAACTCTCTGTCCCTTCTGGCAGTGGCTGATCATTTGTGTAAATGTGAAATGTTGATGGAGCTTCTCTAGCCCTGGAATTCAACAAAAAAGCTCCTGTTTTGTAGCAGATTTCCTATGAAGCCAGTGAGGTGGTAGTCCTTTGCGATAGTATAAATTTTTATCAGGAGAAGGCCATGACTTACAGTATCATGTGCTGCTGAGGGTTCTATGAAGACAGCTCCTGTACTCTGCTGCCTTTCACAACCGTCTTTCTTATGATATCCTTTCAAATATTTAAGCGCGGTTCTCATGCCTCCTCCTCTCCGCTTTCTCGGCTCTTTAAGCCACTCCTCAGAGGGATTCATGGTTTCCAGACCTTGGATCACTTTAGTAGCTGGCTAGTCCCTCTTCCTTTCTCATTCCACAGAGGAGAAAGAAATCCAGTAAAGTCCCCACAGGAGGCCAGCCTTACCTCCTTCACCTGAGGCGGAAGAAGCGGGTCCCCACCGACAATTCAAGGTCAGTCCTCAAATGCAGCTTTCTCTGAAAGGCCAGGAAGAAAGCTTCCACACAGCCCGCTGGAAAGAGTGCTTGGTTTCGAATGTGGCATCTTGGTCCTCTTGGGTCTAGCGTCTTGGGGTGGGAAGAACTCTTTGAGCAAAGGGGCTGGGGGCCTGGTGTTGCTTTTGTCCCTCTCCCGGAACAGTCCTTTAGGCAAAGGAGAGGAGTCTACGGACGGCGCTCTCCGGACCAGTCAGCTGTCCTTCTGCAGCCTGCCGCTTACTCCTCTGGCATCCCCACGCAAAGAGGTCAACCCAGAGATGAACAGCAGAAAAGCAGCCTCAACAGAGATCAAGAAGAAGGTTGCACCACCTGTGATTGTCCTGCAGAAAGCACCCAGTTTGTACAGATTTGAAGCAAAGGTGGGCAAGGGAGGTCTCTGCACTGGGGAAAGCACCAACTGCTGCTCTGGGCCAGAGCGAAGAGAGAGGGGGCCAGGAGGACAGTTCCATCTTGTCTCCTGTGCTATGCTAATAATATAATATAATGTATATTCATATCATATTTATAATATTATAATGTAATACAATATAATAGTAATAATAATAACACAATATTATAATTATATATTTTATATTACACTAGCTGTCCCCTGCCACGCATTGCTGTGGCCCAGTCTGGTGATCTGGAAAATAAAATAATGAGAAAGTGTTGGTTTCTAATATATGTAATTTCTTGTGGGTAAACAGTATTTCTTGTTGTTTCGTTGTCAGTGTTGATGTGGAGAGTGTCTGGTTTGCCTACTCTGGAATATGCAACATATCATAGTCCTTCTTTAGGGGTCCCTTTCAAATTTATGATGCCATATCTGTGTTTGTGTGAATCATATCTATCTATCTATCTATCTATCTATCTATCTATATCTATGGCTGGATGGCTCTTTGTCAGGAGGGCTTTGCTTACGTTTTCTTGCCCTGGTCTGGAAGAGAGTTGGACTGGATGGCCTTAAATATTTTCTGTTGGTCATGGGGGTTCTGTGTGGGGAATTTGCCCCAATTCTGTCATTGGTGGGATTCAGAATGCTCTTTGATTGTAGGTGAACTATAAATCCCAGTAACTACAAATCCCATATGTCAAGGGCTATTTCCCCTAAATTCCATCGGTGTTCATATTTGGGCATATGGAATATTTGTGCCATGTTTGGTCCAGATCCATCATTGTTTGAGTCCACAGAGCTCTCTGGATGTAGGTGAACTACAACTCCCAAACTCAAGGTCAGTGCCCAGCAAACCCTTCTAGTATTTTCTGTTGGTCATGGGAGTCCTGTATCCCAAGATTGGTTCAATTGTGGAGTTCAGAATGCTCTTTGATTGTAGGGGAACTATAAATCCCAGCAATTACAACTCCCAAATGACAAACTCAATTTTTTTTTGAGTGAAGGACATACATTGGGTTGTTAGGTGTCTTGTGTCCAAATTTGGTGTCAATTCATCCAATGGTTTTTGAGTTCTGTGAGTACCACAAACAAACATTACATTTTTATTTATATAGATGTAATATTACTAATAATATTACAAAATAATGGTGTAGCACAGTATAGTAATATATAATACTGATATTGTGCTATTTTAATAATATAATATATTGTATGTATATATATTTTATGGTTCCATCTTGTCTCCTGTGCTATGCTAATAATATAATGTATACTCATCTCATACTTATAATATTATAATGTAATACCATGTAATCCAATATAATACTACTACTAATAATAATACAATATTATAATTATATATTTTATATTACATGTAATATTACTAATATTACAATATAATGGTGTAGTACAGTATAGTAATATATAATACTGATATTGTGCTATGTTAGTAATATAATATATGTATATATATTTTGTAGGCCTCTCTGAGTCCTCTTCGGGGTGAGAAGGGTGGCATATAAATGCCATCTATATAAATAAAAATGTAATGTTCGTTTGTGGGATTAACATAACTCAAAAACCACTGGACAAATAGACACCAAATTTGGACAGATTACGCCTAACAACCCAGTGAGTGACCATCACTCAAAATTGATTTTTTCATTTGGCAGTTGTAGTTGCTGGGATTTATAGTTCAGCTACAGTCAAAGAGCATTCTGAACCCCATCAATTATGTAATTGATCCAAACTTGGCACACAGAACTCCCATTGACCACAGAAAATACTGGAAGGGTTTGGTGGCCAGTATCCTTTGGAGTTGTAGTTCACCTACATCCAGAGATCACTGTAGTCTCAAACAATGATGGATCGGGACCAAACTCTACATGAATACTCAATATGCCCAAATGTGAACACTGGTGGAGTTTGGGGAAAATAGAACCTTGACATTTGGGAGTTGTAGTTGCTGGGATTTATAGTTCACCTACAATCACAGAGCATTCTGAATCCCACCAATGATAGAATTGGGCCAAACCTCCCACACAGAACCCCCATGTGGGCCACAGCAACGCGTGGCAGGGGACGGCTAGTACAATATAATACTACTACTAATAATACAATATTATAATTATATATGTTATATTACATGTAATATTACTGATAATATTACAATATAATGGTGTAGTACAGTATAGTAATATATAATACTGATATTGTGCTATGTTACTAATATAATGTATGTGTGTGTGTGTGTGTGTGTGTGTGTGTGTGTGTGTGTGTATATATATATATATATCTTATAGGCCGCTCTGAGTCTCCTTCAGGGTGAGAAGGGCGGCATATAAATGCCATAAATAAATAAAGGGATCTTAGAAAAAAGGTATCCCTCTGCTGCCTGAGAGTCTTGTGTCAAACACAGAGCTTCTGACATGCATCATGTGAATGGAGGCAGACATGGCTTTAACCTGCCTTTTTTCCATTCTCTTTTTCCCTCTCTTTCTTTTTTTCTTTCTTTGTATCCCTTCTTCTAGTTTCCCGTGAAAGAGCGATGCTCAAGAGGAATCCGTGGGCAGCTCAGAGTTCCCCCAGAAGGTGTGGATGTCATGCTTTTGAGCTGTCCCAGGAGTCCAGCCGGAGAAGCCAAGGCTGACCTGCCTGCTCTGGCCTTGCTTTAGGCTCAGGGCTCCTGTGGCACTCGATATCTGACCTAGTGGAGAAGCCAGGCTGCACTGAGTCCCCGGACCCCAGGAAAGGAGGAGACGGAAGAGGAGGAGGAAGCCATGGTGACCAGCCGGACAAAGTCGCTACACTGATCCAGGAGGCTGTAAGTGTGGCCAGATGTAATTGTATCATCTGATGAGAGAGAGAGAGACTTGTGGGAGAGGGATCAGAATGATGAGTGGAGCAAAGGAGCCTATGGCCTCTCTGCAGGAGGCCCAGTTGCCCTCAGATGGGCCAAGAGAGGATAGCTGGATCCCAGTAGTACTTTTCTCTCACCCCTGAAAGAAAGGTGGGTGGGCGGGTTCTATGTTATGAATAACTTTCCCACACTGGAAAAGTAATATATAATACTGATATTGTACTATGCTAATTCTTATTATTTAGCCTATAAAGCTCCAATTATTATTATTTAGCCTATACATCCCTCCAAGATCATTTACCCGGCCCTCGCTCAGGGTCAGCCTAAGTCCGAAACGACTTGAAAGCATACAATAACAACAACCACAACAATCCTATCTCATCAGCCAAAAGCAGGCCCACACTTCCCACTGAAATACTAATAAGTTTATATTTGTTAAAATTGTTCTTCATTTTAATTGTTGTATTGTTTTTAAGTATTTTTGCACTACAAATAAAACATGTGCTGTGTGCATAGGAATTAATTCACGTTTTTTTTCAAATTATAATCTGGCTCTCCAACAGTTTAAGGGACTGTGACCTGGCCCTCTGTTTAAAAAGTTTGAGGACCCCTGCCCTAAACTGTTCTGGCCCAACTTACATGTCCGAACACATCTACCCATATGAACCATTTAGACCCTTAAGATGGTCTGGGGAGGCCCTGCTCCTGTTACCGCCTAGTATGTTTGGCGGAGATGAGAGACAGGGCCTTCTCGGTGGTGGCCCTTCGGCTGTGGAACGCCCTCCCTATAGATGTTAGATCGGCCACCTCCCTTTTAACATTCCGGAAAAAAAGTCAAGACGTGACTTTTTGAACAAGCGTTTGCAAATGCAGAGTAACTGACAAAGGAAAATGGAACGACTAGACAATGAGTCCGGACAACGTTTTGATCAAGGAGACACTATGAATTTATATTTCATGGAGTTGTTTAGTTTTTATTATATGATATGTTTTAAATTGTATTTATGACATTGTAAGCATTGAATTTTACCCTGTTAACCGCCTTGAGTTGCCTACGGGCTGAGAAAGGTGTTATACAAATACAGCAAATAATAATAATAATAATAATAATAATAATAATAATAATAATAATAACAACTTTATTTATACCGCTCCATCTCCCCCAGGGAGACTCGGGGTGGCTTACATGAGGCCACGCCCATCAACACAATAAATAAACAATAAATAAATAAAATCTTGTAAGCTGCTCTGAGTTCCCTTCGGGGTGGGAAGGGTGGCATATAAATGTCGTAAATAAATAAATAAACAGATTCCCTGCGACTGTTTCCTCCCCAGTCTGCCGAGGAAGGACCTCCCCCATTGGCTCCTATAGCTCCTCCAGAGAGGAAGAAGTCGGTGAGGTTTGCGGAGTGCAAGAGCAACACAGCCAGGGTGCCCACAGAAGGTGAGTGCTGCCCATATGTCCTCCCAGGGTCTTCTTTACACCTTAGGTTTAGCCAGGGGTCTTGCTTGGGATCCATTTCATAGCATGAGAGCCCCACAGATCCCTCCACTTAGGCTGGGTTTTAGAGGTCGCAGTAGGGCCAGCAGGCTGATGGGTTCTGCTGACCTTGTGAGTGTCATGGCTGCCTGATGGCTGAAAAGAGTTAACATGGGTTTTGGGCCAAATAGAGTTTTTACTTCGTTCCTTCTCCACAGCTGAAAGCAAAGGGGAAACTTCATACCCTGAGATTAAAATAAGAATAGTAATAGTAATAATGGGTTGCTGTGAGTTTTCGAGGATGCCTGGCCATGTTTCAGAAGCATTCTCTCCTGACGTTTTGCCCACATCTATGGCAGAGGTTGTGAGGTCTGTTGGAAACTAGAATAATATGGAATAATATGGAATAATATCCAAGGTGGGAGAAAGACCTCTTGTCTCACAGCAACCCATAAAAGCCTTCAACATCACCATCATCATTTGAAACACAACAAGATGAGTCCACAGCAGACACTCTGCTGGCTGTTGAATTGGATGCAAAGACTGACACAAGCCAGTAAAGGTGGTCACAGTGGTGATCGGCAGACTGGATGCAGTGCCTAAAGACCTTGGCCTGCACTCAAACACAATCGGCGCTGGCAAAATTCCCATCTGCCAGCTACAAAAGGCCACCCTACTGGGACCTGCACGCATTATTCACCAATACATCACACAGTCCCAGACACTTGGGAAGTGTCTGATGTGTGATCCAATGCAACAACCAGAAGAGTGATCCTGTTGTTATTATTATTTTAAGAAACACAACAAGATGAGTCAATGTTGACTCATCTTGTTGTGTTTCTTAAAATAACAACAACAACAACAATAATAAAAGACTCTGGCACAAGCCAGTCAAAGTGGTCCCAGTGGTGATCGGCACACTGGGTGCAGTGCCTCAAGACCTTGGCCTGCACTTAAACACAATCGGCGCTGACAAAATTGCCAGCTGCAAAAGGCCACCTTACTGGGATCTGCATGCATTATTTGCCGATACATCACACAGTCCTAGACACTTGGGAAGTGTGATCCAATACAACAGCCAGCAGAGTGATCTTGTTTCAAATATTTATTTATTTATTTATTTATTTACGACATTTATGTGCCGCCCTTCTCACTCTGAAGGGGACTCAGAGCGGCTTACAAGATATATATACATACAATATATTATATTATTAGCAGAGTACAATATCAGTATTATATATTACTATATTGTACTATACTATTATATTGTAATATTATTAGTAATATTACATGTAATATGAAATATATAATTATAATATCATATTATTAGCGTTATATTGTATTACATTATAATATTATAAATATTATATGTATATACAATATATTATATTACATTACATTATATTATATTAATATAAAAACAATAATGATTTTTCCCTTCATTATTATTAATGCTGTTGTTGTTGGCATAAATAATAATAATAATAATAATAATAATACTTTATTTATATACTGCTCCATCTCCCTGAGGGGACTCATTGTATTACAGTGCAGGTGGTCCCAATGGTGATCGGCACACTGGGTACTGTGCCAAAAAATCTCATCTGACATTTGGAAACAATAAACATTGACAAAATTACGATCTGTCAACTGCAAAAGGCCACCTTACTTCGAAAATACATCACACAGTCCTAGACGCTTGGGGAGTGTTTGACTTGTGATTTTGTGATACAAAATCCAGCATATATCTCTCATTTGCTGTGACATACTGTGTCTTTGTGTCAGTAATAATAATAATAATAATAATAATAATAATAATAATAATAATAATAGAATAAGAATAATAAGAAGGGAGTGCTGGATCCCATCTGTCAAAGGAATGGGATACCCA